GAGAGGCCATTCGAAAATCCGCCTAAGCCGATAGTCCCCTCGGCAAATAGGCTCTGCTGGAGGGATGGCTCCGAGCCAGCCAATCAGCCATCTGCCCTCGCGAGGCTGGCCTATGACTCACTCGGGGTGTGTGGTGAACACGTGACCGAGGCTAGCCGGCTGCGGCCCCGTTGTGAGCATAACGCCACGATCGCACTCGGGCTTTCCATGTCTGTGTGTGTTTGCGATCTCGACGCTGATGCTGACGCATTCGCAAAATGCCCATCGGCCGCGTCATTCAGTCACCCACTCAGTCCGGCCAACCGTCGAGCCGGTGGTGTCGCTGCAAGACGGGGCGTGGCGAGTTCGCATCGTGTCTGTCTGCAGCCCTCGACGGGTGGGCCTTTCACCCGGTTCGACGTCGCCTGTCCACGCCCTTGCGTCGGCCCTGCCAGTCCCGCCATCTCGCCTCCCATTGGGCTCAGGCTGCGGGCTCACGGACAGACGCCTCGATCACCAGCTGCCTCTCAATTCAGCTCCGCCTATCGATCGATAGCCTCAGCCGGCATTCGCCGACTAAATCAGGGCCCAAACTCGCCGCGCTGACTGCCTCGATGTGGCCGAGCGCGACCAATTGGACGCCGACCATGAGCACTCTGCGTGTGTGTGTGTGTGTGTGTGTGTGTGTGTGTATCTGTAGGAGCATATCAGGACGACGAGCAGCCAGTCGTCGAGCCGACCCGGCTGGAAGCGGATTCGCCCGCCTTGTCTAATCTCCGCTGCCATGCCACATCGCATCCTCCTACTTGCCGAGGCGGTGAGCTGGGCCTAAGCTGTCTCGCAGGCCCGTCTGCCCTCGAGGCTGATCGCGGAGTTGAGCGAAATCAGCGCTCACTCGAGGGGGGACATGTCTTGTCTCGGCCTCGTCGCCATTTCTCCCTCCACCACCCTCGGCTTTGCCCAGGTCGTCGTATCACTGCTCCCCTCCCCTCTCCAACCCACACGTCGTCGTGACTTGGCCGGTTGCTAGGCCGTTTCCGACACCGACCACGAGGACAGACAACACGACAATCAAGACGAAGCGCGTGTCCCGGAGTCAAGCGAGCCTGCGTAAGTTTGCCGCATTTCTCTTTTTGGTTCCAGGCAAAGAGACCAACATGTTCATGGCCTCCGTCCCCTCAAAATACAAGTTGTCCCATACATTCGTTGTGTTCACCCTATTTCGTCTCGGATGACGAAGGATTGGCAGTTGGATTTATCCCACGATGCTGTGAGCAAAGTTGATGTTTTCTATTGAAATTCACATCTGCCCTGTTACCCAAGGGCACTCATGGCAGTGGCGTACCTGGTTCGACTCCCGCTGGGGGTGTTGATAAGACATAGGCGAGGTCGAAACTGCAGTCCATTTCATCCTGGATGCGAACACCTTTTTGGCGAAGTTCAATGCAAATCATCAGCTCTACTCATAGCAATGTGGGAAAAATCAACTAGCAGTTCTTTATCACCTCCAACGAAATAGGGTGGACACAACTCATATATCTGACTTACTGGTAGTCTTGACGACCTACTCACTCACGAAACAAGTTGTCTGACCCCTTTGTTCGTGTTGCCATTTTGGTATAGACGAGCACACTTCGTCCCGTGTCCCCGGCCAGAGTGGAGTTGTTGTATTCCCAGTAGGTTTCTCGGCGTTGTCAGGACATCCTGACAGTCACAGCACAAAGTTGCCGCTTGTCGAAGAGACAGATCTTGTCTCGAATGCCGGCAAAGCCAGCCCAAGGTGCGTTCGTCTGCGTCACCAACGGCTAAATTGACGAAACGACGTAATACCAGTTGTCTTTCTCTGTCGTCCCACCCGACCGGCCCCACTTCTGCGTCTTTTCCGTAGTGTACTGACGAGCATACACTGAAATGACTGGTTGTCATGACCGCTAGGCCGACAATGAGATGTTTAATTGGGAATTTTTTGGTTTTCGGATTCAGGCACGTTCGCGCCCTAAGCAGTGGTACTTCCAGCGGTTCTCCGTGCCTTCCTGACAGACAATCGGGGCGCTTCACTTCCCATGAGAATCTTTTTTGTTACACTAAATCGTGGCATTCAAAGCGTACAGACACAAACTTTGCTATTAGCATAGTGTGAAAATAATCTTAACGTTTCAGAAGTGGGTTGACCTCCTTGTCGCAAATTGGTCTTGTTTTCAGGGAGACCATGTAGAACGCACCTAGTCCGAAGTCGTCTGCCATAG